CCATTTCATAAGATTTGTCAATGATTTTTGAGCAAAAAGGAGATTTATTTAATAATTTGGCTTTAACTATTTCGAAATCATATGAAATTCTTGTGAAAGCTCAGCCTTGAGTATTCGAGAGAGAAAATTTACGGGCTTTTACGCAACGGCATGGACATAGTGGAGCGAATTAAAATACAGCGGCTTGGACATGTCGTTCGTATAGACACCGACGATCCAGCTCTGAAGGTAATCAACTTGAAACTCGCTGGTAGTAGCAGAGGCAGAAGAAGGCCCCACTGCGATAGAAAGACCAAGCGGAGCAGAACTTGCGTTCAAATTGGCGGAAACTCAAAAAAGTATATTGAAAGCTTTTCTAAACTAACTTAAACGTATACAAATTCTGTAAAATTGGATTTATAAAGCAATTATAACTATTTCCTTTAGAATGATATGTATATTGTATTTTTAAAGATAAAGATACTTAAACCTTAGCCCTGTAAAGTCATCAAAATTAACTCAAAAATCTCCAAAGCCAGTTAAAATAGTTTAACAAAAGTTAAAATAGTTTTAAAAAGTAATTAGAGTTATTACTTTTTAACGTTTTATTGCCTCTTTAAAATTTACTTATAGCTTTTATGAAAGCTCTGCAAAGTTCCTATTGGCAGTTACACTCATTTTATATAAGGATTGAAGCTATTTTCGTTTAAATTCTTGATTACCTTTTAAAAACCTTTAAAAGCTTTATTGAAAGCTCTAATAGGTCACCAAACCTAATTGAAAAGTCTCCAAAGGCAGTTACATAAGCTTTATAAAGCAATTACAGCTCTTTGCTTTTGCATCTTTTAATGCCTTTTTAAAGCTTTATGGGCATCTCTGCAATGTCATCAGAATTTTCTTTTAAATATATTTCTAAATAAAAATTCAGCTAATATGTTCGTAGTTGCGCTTTAACCCCTACAAAAATGAGTACCCCATCGAAAAAACGCATGTCCACTTGCCTTGATTAAATAATTCAGTTTACATTTGTTATGGTTGCGTTTGGCGCACATAATAAAAGACATTGTATTTGAATTTCGTCGTGACATAAAATGCTAAATGTTCGTTAGTCAGGGCATCATAACGTGTACGAGTATAATGGCATGCGTTATGTTTACATATTTATTTAAAAAAATGTCATGGAAAACACGAATCCTGCAGCTACGAATAAAATATTTTTTTAGAGCTTGTAAATATTTGTTTATTTAGCGGGGAAAACATGCTCGAAATATTTTTATTAACTGATAAGTTGAATAAATATTAAAAAAATCGTTTTCTTTATAGCAATTCCTTCTTAATACAAATACGAAAAACGAACTTTCAAATTTTATTAAAAAAAAAAAAACATAAATCATAAATTACTAATTACAAAGGCACCAAAAGTTACCAACCATAAAAAAGCTATTTAATTGAAATTAGAAAAGTATAGTACATGAAGAATAACGGACTAAATAATATTTAACGGTCATATTAAAAGTGGATAATTAATTTGTATGCGCACAAATGCGGAAAATCCAAAAAGCGAAAATAACTTTTTGGAGCACTAAATATTGTGTTCATGACTAAATTTCCACATACATACGTATGTATGTACATATATATATATTTGAATGTTCGTACATAAATTAAAAACACAACAAATTATAAAAAAGAAAAAATTCAAATCAAATACCCATCAAAACAAAAGTGAGTAAGCAATAGTAGCAAAACTTGTATACATCAGTCGCAAACATTAAATAATAAACCATATTTAGTGGCATCATTAAGACAGCAAAGCGAGCAACAACACTAAATGTCTTTAAAAACAAAAAAAACGGCAACAACTAATATAACAACAATAATGGATATACGAATAGTTACTACGGTAAACATAACACTACACAAACAAGCAATAAAAACTGCATTTAAAAAATGATACTGTAACTAATGTAAAACGGAAAGTAAGCCAAAACGAATGGGGGGAAACTAAAATAAAAGCAAAACAAAAAACTTAAAAATAAAAAAAAATTTAAATTACTCCAGCAACATGCGCGTTAATAGCACACGATATTAAGAACAGTTTTGCATGCCTAAACACATGCAGCCAATGGTACATACATATATGTATCTATATGTATTTATGTGTATGCGTTTGTGATAATTTCACCATATTTGCCGCTTTACTACCACCGCCACCACTAATGGACCTGGCTTAGGGAAGGAATATGGGTAGGCGCAGGAAAATATGTATTTAGCAGCCAACAGCAGCAGCAGCGGTATTCAAATGAGCCGAAATTCATTTGCAACGGCACAATTGACGGCGTTTAAGCTACGCACATACATGCATACCTATACAATTACGAGCTAATTGCTCGACTTTAGCTTGCCACAGAATATGTGCCATTGCGTTGGTGGCGTGGGTCAAAAAATAGCCGGCTAAAAAAAAAAAACAAAATTTTACACAAACAATAGGAAAAATGAATTTAAAGCAGTAGCAACGATAGTTATAAGCAAATGGCGATGTATGCTAACAAATTCTGTATATATTTACGTACATTAGGGCGGGTCAATTTGTATAGGAGATTTTTTCGACTATGAGCGTATAGCACAGAGGGATTGTACGTTTAATTATAGGCAAATTTGCCAAAGAAACCATGAATCTAAAATCAATTTGCAGTCTGCTTAAATTTTTTATTAAAAAAAACATGCTACAAAAGTTTTATTGGTATGAGGAACCCATTTATGCATTTATATATTTCTTAAAACTTCCACCAGAGGGTGCAACAGTGAAAATTTTCAAATTTTTTTCAAAACCTATTTTCGCAATTTGGCAAACTCTAAATTGATTTTAGACCCATGGTTTATTCGGAAAGTTTGCTTAGAATTACAAGTAGAATAATTCTGTGCTATACGCGCATAGTAAAAATACATTGACCTGCCCTAATATATACTATATATACAAACATACGTATAAACCAGTGATGGACATACTTAGTTGACCTAAGTTTTGGCACCGAAATTAAATTTTAAACAGAAATTTCCAGCACTGTTTCAATTTAGGCAAACAGCTGATCAAACTGTGCGCGGTCATCTCACACTATCTAAATTGGTCGTTCTGAAATTTTTAAAAATTTATTTTTCTTCTGTCCTGAACAATTTAAAAAAAAAAATTGACTTAGCACCTTTCACGTGAAGCTAGCTTGATGATGAAACTTTCATATGTGGCACTGAAAATCATATACATACATACATACATATACATGTACATATGCATTTAAAATTCCAAGTCAACGGAAGAAAAAAACTTTAGAATCCAATTATTGATCGCAGTCATAATTCGGTTGGCATGGAATTTCCATATATATATGTACACATATATACGTACATAGGAGCTTTATCAGTACAAATATTTTCTTATGGCAGCTCCCTGCGGTAACTTTTTGCACAAAATTTTGGCAAAAATGTTATTTTTGTAGGTTTTTCATCATTCCTCATCTTCTGCTAATAGGTATATTCCATTAAAAAAAGTCACATGCCTAATGTGCATATGTATCTAAGTATATGTAGATGCATACTTAATAAACAAAACTACAGACATTCATGTGTCTACTACAAGAAGAAAAAAGTAAAAATTAAAACGCTGTTTCTCATCCAGCCTTTGTGCACCTACAACCACTTACATTTGTACTAAAACACACACATTTTTACTTGGGCCTTTGACTTAACAATCGCTGGCGCTGACACTAGCACCACCTCTGCCACCAACGAATGCTACAAATAATAACTCGACGCTAATTCAGCTGCTTATTTTTTTCTTTCTTACTTAACTGTCTTCCTTCCCTTGTCACCCCTTGCTAACGTTTCTTAGCTGCCTTTACGAGTAATGCTGCCTTTGGCTTAATTAAAATTTGTAAAAATGTGGCAGTACGCAAACCGAAAAGCCAAAAACAGACAATAAAATTATGTAGTGAGTGCAAGTTGCTGTATGTAAGTAAGTACTCGCATTAAGTAGGCAAACAAACAAGCCACCAAGTTGGTAGCCGGCTGGTAGACTGCCTGGTTAACTGGGACTAACACGAACTAGTGACTTGCAAAGTTAACATAAATGAAGAATGAATGGGCACCACATTCATACGCACACACACCTCTGGACATATACATACAAGCACGTGTTTTTATGCATGTCCGTATATATATAAGTGGATGTTTGTATATAGGAATATAATCATATACATATGTACGTATGTATTTATGTATCATAAAAGTGAAAAAATGCGCAGACCGCCAAATCCATCATTTCCGCTTCCATGCGTTTTTCTCGCGCAGCGCAGTTGTATGCATATTTTTAAACGTAAATACTTAGGTGAAACATTTGCATGTATGTACATATGCATGTATGCATGAGTACGAACACTCTTATTAATTCGCACATTCCTGTACAACTTTAGGTTATTGCAACTTCAATGCCATTCAACTATGCACTTTCTTACTTACATACATACAAATGTATAGATACGTACGTACGTAGCTCTGATTATAGCTTTGTAGTTTGCAAATGCAGGAAATATTTAAATTCTTATATGTATACATTTTTAACATTCCAATATTTGTGCATCATAAAATGCGCGTTAACATGGAATTGGACTTTGAGTGACGTGCCAAGCCGCATAAACAGGTAAAATGGGTTTGAGGCGCGCACTCGACTTTTAGTTTTGAAAACATTTTAATGTTTGTAAAAAGAATTCTTGTGTGGTATGATAACGGCCAATATGGTTGTTACTTGTAACATATTTTTCTGAGCCTAAAAAAAAATATATCTCAGAAAGCTTTAAACTTAATTTTCCCTTTCGATAAATCCTAAGTTAAAGTTCACATTCATTTTTTTCATACATATGACTCATTAATTGCACCTTTACACTACATATGTATAAAATCTTTAGTTCCTTTATGCAAAATATTAAGCATTTAATTTATTTTTATTTATTTTTTCCTTTTCTTTGCAGAGGGTCGCGAATGCGTCAACTGTGGTGCTACATCGACGCCATTATGGCGACGCGATGGCACCGGCCACTATTTGTGCAATGCCTGTGGACTGTATTATAAAATGAATGGCCAAAATCGACCACTTATTAAACCAAAGCGAAGACTGGTAAGTTTTGAGAAACATATATGTATGTATGTGCCTACACACATATGTAGATAGAATAGAATTTGAAATCTGATTTAATTCATTAAGACTCCGCGCGATGGGCGCATTACGGGCAGAATGTGTACTAATATTGTCAGCCCAGAATGGCAGGGAAGCACGAAGAAACCTTTTTTGACTTTATGAATTTGCAAAAGGCCTTAGGATTTGATTGAAACAAATTTTTATTTTTTTTTATTTTAGAAGCTTAAATAAAAATTCGAAGAAGGAGTAATTAAATTTTCTCTAGCTAAAAAGGGAAAGCGAGCGAGAGGAGATGTAACAAATTGGGTTAAATGTAATGAACATATTTCAGCTAAGTCAAATTTAGAAATCAAATTTGTATGGATTTTACATATTTGCGTCCAAAGCATCACACAAGCTTCCCAGCTCTCTGATATAAGTAAAATTACTTACACTTTGAGATTTACTTTAGGCTACGTTTATGTCCTAGCGGATTCGCAACGCGTGATGCGATCAAAATCGCTGCCAACGTTCAATTCATAAATTTGTATGACGCTGTTAATCGTTGCACCACAAACACCGCCATATGAATTTGTGGGGTTGGGTACAAAATTACCATAGATCAATATTGTGTGTTTAAAATTCTGTGTTCAAAACTCTGTATAGCAAAATTCTATAATCTAATATTTTGTATTGTAAAATTATGTATGGAAAAATCGGAAAACCATATCGAGCCCTAACCGCCAAAATAACGTAAGCGACATTTTTTTCAAAATTTTCTTTTTGATGCAGAAATATTCCTAGAGCATCTAGATACATGGATTTCGTAAGAAAAAAAAAATAAATTAAAAATAGGTTTTCCGATTTTTTCAATATTAATGTACGTAGAGTTCATATTAACGTAATGCATTAAATTTTGACTAATACTGGTTTTCACAAACTCTTCAAAGTTACATTTTTGTATTCAAATTGGTTGGCGAAAATTCATGTTTCGTTTTACAAATTACAATGTTAAAAAAAGCTCATATGACTGTTATATAATATATGTAGTAAGGCGTTCTGAAAATAACGGTCGGATAAATTATAAATTTATGCAAAAGTGATGTACAAAGGAGTTACCTGCAAACAGCAAAACCGACTTAGCAGAAAAAAAAATTTATTTAAAAAAATAACAAAAATAAATTTTAATTAAATCTTTCGCCAAGTCCGTCTCAGAAAACAACTTTTTAAAGTTATTTAAAAAATCAAATAATATATGTTCATACGTACATATGTATGTCACTGATAAAGTTCGAAGAAGAGGTTAGAAGAAAGCAAAATGTATCAGCCGGTATCCGTATAACAAGAAACCATGGCCAAGAAAAGCGACATTGACAGTGTCGATCACTTACCGTTAAGTATAGACAAGTTATATATTTGTAAAACTTTTGAAGAACTAAAAACAACAGAAAGCTGAGTGGTATCAAGAGCAGAAACAATAAACGAGAATTGAGCTAGAAATCAAACTCCAAACCCAAAAATACAAAATCAATGAACACCAAACAGCTATCAAAACCAACGACAATAATAGTTCCCAATCCGAAGAAGTCTTAATATCTGGCATTTACATCTGTAAGATGAGCAGGGCAAGCGAACGCGCATACGCACCCATTTAAGCCTCATGTACTATGTATGTACATGCGTTCTAACTGATCCAGACACTATCGCCTATCTGCGATCGACGATAAGCGCCACAATGCTGCCTACTCAACCAGTGGCGCCAACTACATCAAAAACCGCTGCAATCACAAAATCAACTCACCAAATCCATGCTACAACAATTATACAATCGAAATCACAATAAAATTACAAACATACATACATATGTAGGATGATACGAGGGCAATTTGAAAAGTCAGTAACTTTTTGAATTGAAGATATTTTTCGCCAAAAAAGCGTTTTATTTTTCAACATAGTTTCCTTTTAGATATATCTTTAGTCCTTCGTTTTTTTTTCAAATTTTTTAATTCCTTCCAAATAAAAGGTTTCTTAATATGCTCAAATGCTCTGTGATTATCTCTTTTATTAGACCCAAATATATTACCACCCAGCCATTTCTTTTGGTTTGGAAGCAGGAAATAGTCGCTGAAGCTAAATCTAGTGCACTGTTTTGATGAAACAGCGCATTTTTCTGGGGCAAATATGGTCGTTTTTGCTTCACATCAATAGCAGAGTCTCTGAATAATATTCGCCAGTGATAGTTTTGGCCTTTTCAAGCTAATCGATGTAAATGACACTGCGTACATCCCAGAAAACTATGGCCATGACCTTAATGGCTTACACGCAGAAAAAAGTCAGGCAAATATATTCCTCTCAACACATGATTTGGTAACTATAAACAAATAATGTAACTATAACCAAATCATGTGTTGAGAAAAACATATTTAGTTGACGTAACTAAACTCTTTTCTCAGTGTACAGACCTACTTGGCCTTCTTTGGTGCATTTCTTGATTGTTTCTTGGTCTTTGGTTTATTGTGGTGGATTGATGTTTCGTCAGCGATTACGAATCGGTGCAAAACTCTTTCGAATTGTGTGTGATCACACAGTTGCGTTTATGGTCGAGTGGGATCAAGCGCAGCACCAATCGCGCGAATAGGTTTTTCATATCCAAATATTCATGTAAAATGCTATACTCAATCAGTAGAGCTAGCTACAGCCTCGGCCACCTTACACACTTTTATTCTCCGATCGCTCAATATCATTTCATGGATTTTATAGACGATTTATGGCGTGGCGACCACTTTTGGGCGATCAAAACGTTCAGAGTCACTTATGCTGGTACGACCACAACGAAACCCAGTAAACCATTTTTTAACCATTGAAATTGATGGTTCAGGATGCCCGGTATTTATGAAGCATTTTCTTGGATTCGGTAATGGATTTTTGACGCATAAAATAATGCTTAATCAGAACACGAAATTTACTTTCTTCCATTTTCGTTAAAATTCACAAGGTTGTCTGCTTTCAATGACTGTCAAACACAAACTAAATGTAGCAGCTAGCCAAAAAATTTTACAGTAGGCTACTAATCGATCGGCAGTTGACGGGAGAAGTATTGCATTTAAAGTTACTGTGCACAAAATTCAAAAAGTCACTGACTTTTCAACTTGCACTCGTGTAATCAACACGCCTAAATACACACACACACATACGCCCGTTAGCTTTAAGCAGCACTCAGTCTTTGTAGCTACTTAAAATTGTTGCAACTTCTTAGCTAGTTGAGATGCTGTGCCACCACCAGCTGTTTTATGTGGTAAAATAAGGAGACGCGAAACCAAGCGCTGATGTGAGTAAAAAAAAATTTAATGCCATCAAAATAACATAAATTGGTCTATTAGCAGGAGCAAGCATGTGCGTTCATACATATGTATGTATGTATATTAGATTGGCCGAAAAAAATGTTTCCCCAGAGAGGGTTTGGGGCACCTTCCAACATGTTTCCTCTTGCCGAAAGAGGTGCTGCCGTCAAACCTTACATTTCTAAGTATCCATTTAGAGGATGCTCATGATGCTCATATGTTACTCTAGAAGCATTGTGTACATATATTAATTAAACAATTGGTTAAGTAACCTAAGAACATTTCAAATTTAAATTATCTATTAAAATATCACTTCTTTTGTTATGGGAATAGTAGATTTTTATAAAAATCACTAAAATTTTTTGCCAGTTTCACAGCTACCCAGTAGCGCATTTCAAGGTCACCCTATATTGGTTGCAGTAGAAAACTGAAAGTTGGCACGGATATTACAAATAACAAAAGCAGAAAACTTGTACCACTCTAATGTACATACAAATATGATCGTACATATATACTTTAAGGGCGTTAGCCAACACTCGACAGCTTCACGCTGCAGTTGGATGAGCGAGGTAATAACGAAGCAGGAGGTACATTTTCCCACCTTGGTTATATAGTTAGGGTTAGTTAGCAGGCGCGTAAGAAATATTTATTAATATGTTTAGGTCTATGTATAGGCACATATGTATATATTTGGACCTACATGCATATATATTTATTAATTTACATTAATGTATTCAATAAAACCCTCGAAGCGTTGATTTCCATGTTATTGGCGTACATTTGATTGCATTACATTAACATTGAGTTACAAAAACAAAAAACAAAAAAAAAAACCTAAAATAAAGGCTTAGCTTCTGCATCGCTGTGTGGTGCGCATGTGCGTTGGCGTTGGCGTCACTGTCACTCGCAAACGGCTACCTCGTCTTCTGCATGCACATGCATACATACATATTTTTCGATACTCCTCATCTTCCTTCTTCGCATTGATATATGTATATTGCCTCCGCCTGCATGCTGTAAGCATCTTCGGTGTCGGTCGTTGGTCGTCCCATTCGTTGCCGATGCTGCTGCCTGTATTATGCTTATGAGGGAATTCCCAAGAAATTCACAGCTGGATATTTAGGGTTTGTTGATTTTTGTTGACATTTTTAATGCTGTTGACAAAATATGCAACAAATTAAAATTTATGCTGTGATTTTTATGTGCATTGGAATGCCTCGAATGAAAAGGTGGAGGGGTAACGTAGCAGCAAGGAGTAGGCGCTTAATTGTTTTGAGAGAAGGTCTCCACTCTTTTTGTATGTAAATTAAGCCATGTGTGTACGTTTGTACACAGCATAGTAATGGCTGTATGTGCGCATAATGTCCCCTTTTCCCCACAAACTCCGCATTCCCTTCATATGATGCCACTGCACTTTTACCCCACATCATTAGCAACAGCCGCTGTTATGCCCAGCTGCACTCAGCGTCAGTGCATAGTAGCAATTGCCACCAAGTCACTGTCACTGTTGCATACATATGTGCAAATATCAGTTTGTATGCATTTATGCAGCGCGCGCAAGTGTATTGTCCGCCACAACAGGATGCTCCACATCAATGCCCACACCACTGTCAGGTCGTTAAGTCAATTTGATATGCAATTCAATTGTTTGGCTGCTCA